GGATGGGAGGCAAGACAACCTCTTGCTTGTTTCCCATTTCTAAATGAACAGGGTGGGAACGATGTTCTCTCCCATCCTGAGACCTGAGGCGCAGTGGTGAGGCCTGACCCTGATCGTCAGCTCACTGACCGCCAATGCAGCTGTAAGCAGGGAAGGCCTAATCTGCAGACACAGCAAGGGGCGAGACAACATTGACTTTAACAGGCTTTTTTTGTAAAGCAAAAGCTAAAGGCTGGGTGCGGTGGCTCACGCCTGTAATCCCAGCACTTTGCGAGGCCAAGGTCGGCAGATCATGAGGTCAGGAGATCTAGACCATCCTGGCCAACATGGTGAAACCCCATCTCTAATAAAAATACAAAACTTAGCTGGGTGTGGTGGTGTGGGCACCTGTAAGCCCAGCTACTCAGGAGGCTGAGGCAGGAGAATCAATAGAATCCAGGAGAGGGAGGTGGCAGTGAGCCAAGATCGTGTCACTGCAGTCCAGCCTGATGACAGAGCAAGACTCTGTCTCAAAAAAAAAAAAAAAAAAGGCAAGAGCTAAGATGACAGATCCAGCCTGGTTTGAAAACAGGTGCACAGAATACACATTATAAATGTGTACTTTCTCCTATCTCAGCACCCTAGTGAGAGGGTGTCAGACGAGTTTCTGGACCTGTCAGGGACTCCCAGGGCTTAGCCAGAGTGTCAAAGTGTTGTGCTCACCCACTATTTCTTCCTTAATATACTGTGGAGATAGATGTGGGAAAATTGGATCCCAGTGATTATCTAAGCATAACTTCTCAGACATTTTGGTTAAGGGACTATTTCCTATGAAATGCTATACTTTATGTGGGTATTGAGCTTGAATTTTTTTATTATACAATCTTAGGCTGGGCGAGATGGCTCATGACTATAATCCCAGCACTCTGGGAGGCCAAGGGGGGGCAGATCACGAGGCCAGAAGTTCAAGACCAGCCTGGCCAACATGGTGAAACCTTGTCTCTACTAAAAATACAAAAATTAGCCAGGCATGGTGGCTTATGTTTGTAATCCCAGCTACTGGGGAGGCTGAGGCAGGAGAATGGCTAGAATCCGGGACGCAGAGCCGAGATCGCGCCATTGCACTCTAGTCTGGGCAAGAGAGCAAGACTCCTTGGGCAAAACAAAAATCTTATGCAAACATCAGACTTTTCTCTTCTTAGTAACAATGTTTGGCTTGAGTGGAAGTTTAGCCAAACACTTATCAACTGGGAATTTGACAGCAAGGAGGCACATTTCTGAGGATCATTGGAATGGCATGGTGCGGGCTCCTGACATAGTGTGGGTCTTTGGGAAGTGCAGATTCGTTTTCATCAGTGCTTGGGGACCACTGCTTTGGGTGCATGAATATGGGAACCCATTTGGGAAAATGGTTCATGTAAGTCCAGTCCTCAGCTTCACCAAAACCAGCCCACATAAGAATAGAGATGATCTATTCTGTAGCCAACACCTTAGAAAAAGTACATAAAATAGTTCTCCATTTTTAATCTTTTTTTTCTTTGAGATGGAGTCCCACACTCTGTCACTCAGGCTGGAGTGCAGTGGCGTGATCTCGGTTCACTGCAACCTCCACCTCCTGGGTTCAAGTGATTCTCCTGCCTCAGTCTCATGAGTTGCTGGGACTACAGGCATGTGCCACCACATCCGGCTAATTTTTGTATTTTCTAATCATTTTTCGACTGCATAGATTTAGTTGGAAAATAGTGAACCTTTGTTAGAATCTTTCCTTGGTTTACGGAAACTGCTGGTAGCTAGCTTTGCTTTTAAGTCTTAAAAGTTCCTTAACAGACTCCAAAATGAAGGCTTTAAACCACAACAGTGGGGCCTCTGGAACTTAGGAGATTCCAAATGCATGTGATGGGACAGAGTGGCTTGTTAAGAAAGTATAGAGACATCTGTCTTGCCACCATCTGATTCAGGAGAACTCTCTTTCCCAGAGGGGCCTTCCCTGGCTACCCCCAGCCAAAGCAGCCTTTCCCAAACAGTCCTACTCCACTGCTGTTTGCCCTCAGTACCCCTCAATCTGCACGTGATCCCTCTCTGATCATGCTTCCCCAGCAGGATGAGAACCCAACCAGGCAGGGCTGTCGCTCGCTGCTTCGCCCCAGAGCCTGCTCACAGTAGGTACTCATGCTGACTGAATGAAGGATGAAATCTTAAGGTTCACTGGCCAACCCCTATCCCCTGCTTACCACTAAGGCAGCAGCATAGTTGTAAGGTCTACTGGGAAGATTTGTTGGGCAGGGACAGCCCATTTTGTTAGGGGAGGGAGCTTGATAGGTATTAAAGGACCCTTGAAATGAAATCACTTAAAAAGCTAAATAGGGTCCCCCCCCATTCCCTCCCCCTCCCCCTCATCTCTCTGTATGTGTGCTTATGGAAGAGCTGAGGCAGTTCTCATCCTCTGCTAATCCACACGACACCCCCCCCCCCGCCCCCACACACGGTGCTAGAGGGAGCCTAAGTCAAAACCACACTTGGAGCAGCTTTACTGTCTCTATGACCCAAATAGCCAGAAAGAGATGTTGTTTAGCACTCAGGTTATAGATATCTGTAGGGCTAAACTGAGCCACTCTGTGAAATATTTCCATTTGAACTATCTGGTAAGAGCTACCGTTTTCCAGGACTGACCCTGGCTAATTTTTCAAGTATGGCAAAGTACCGTTACAACTGTAAAATCGGCTAATGGAGGGAGTTATCCTCTTTATCCTGCTAAAATGGCAGAAACCACAGCTTTTTCTCCCCATCACTTCTTTAAAGAATTAAATTTAAGGACGCCAAACATGTGGGCATCATCTAGTTTCTGGGGCATCACTGAGGGGTGGAGGATTGCCGTGTCGGCCCCTCCTTTCCCACCCTCCTCTGAGGCCCACCTTGATCCTAAGGCCCACTGTACAGAAACTGCGCTCACCACAGGAAATAAGCACGTGGAGGAGGCAGACTGACAGCAGGGAAGGGGAAGGCAGCTGGTAGGCACTTGATGCCCGTAAGTGCTCCTGTGTGCCTAGGTGGTACCGCCCTTCCCGCTGATGGTGAGACAGGTCCCAGTGCCACTATGCAGGTGCTAAATAGAGAAAGCACTTCCTCACTGAATGATGCCACACACTTGATTGGGTGACAGCCACACTTGCCCTCAAGGGGAAAAGGCCTCTTGAATTCCCCCACAATCAGCGTGTGCCCAGTACCCCTGGGAGGAGTGGTCTGTGTGTGTGCAAGGAACCCAGCATGCCACTGTAACGAAGCCTGGGCACTGTGACCACAATTTCCTTTTTTTTTTTTTTTTTTTTGAGACAGGGTCTTGTTCTGTCACCCAGGCCGGAGTGTAGTGGTGTGATCTTGGCTTTCTGCAGCCTCTGCCTCCTGGGCTCAAGTGACCCTCCCACCTCAGCCTCCTGAGTAGCTGAGACCGCAGGCCTGTCCCACCATGTCCGGCTAACTTCCGTATTTCTGTAGAGACGGGGTTTCGCCATTCGGTCTTGAACTCCTGAGCCCAAACAATGAGCTCACCTTGGCCTCTCAAAGTGCTAATATTACAGGCAAGAGCCACCGTACCTAGCCCACGATTTCCTAACATTGCTTCATTTTGATTCTGTGTGACATTGTGACTCAGTGCTGAGCTTTAGACCAAGATAAATGTTTAGGGGGAAGACAGAAGAACAAATGAATTGGCCTTTCTAAACAGCCAAACCTAGTTTCTAAAGGTAAGGTTTTATTCCAGCGACGTGTACTGGTGACCATGATGCCACTCTGTGAACTGGCCTCGACAGTAACTCAAACACAACGCTGAGGAACGGAGACCATCTCTCACCAACACCATGCACCTATGGGCTGGGGAGGCCAACGACGGGGCACCAATAAGGTAAGAGTCTTCGGTGGCTTTCTTTTTTTAAGACCATATTTTATCATTTTAAAGCATGAGAGCAGCAGAGGTGGAGAGCAGTGAAGAAAACAGGTTTCCCAAGAACTCTGACAAGAATTTTGGTATTTAGTGAAGGAATGGTTACCATTAGTGTAGCTGTCGTAAATCCTGAAATTTATCTTGGGACCTGCAGTTCGTATTTTGAAGACTACAAAGGTAGCCGCTGGCCTCTCCAGGTCCCTGCTGGGTCCCAGAAATGAGAAAGAGTGGAGTTAGTAGAAGAGGAGAAAGCCCCTTAAAGGATGGTTTGGTTTGGAAGGAAATCCTGATCTGTGCAGCTGAAATGTCAGAAATGTCCCCTGCAGGCCCCCGGGGACCTGCTGTTGCCTCTGTGGTGTTCCTGACCGGTCTGAGATGTGTGCTCCAGAACCCACAATAAGACCGAGTTCTAGAAGCTGCCTCTGTCTCTGAGTCTGTACTATGGTTTATTTCCGACAGAATGAGACTTTTGTATCAAAGGAGCTTCCGCTAAAGTAGTATGTTTTTCCTTCTCAGTTTGTATGGCCTTAGGGAACATGTTTAGCTAGGCAAAGCATTCTCCTCCTTACCATGCTCACAGTCACCATGGTGGCAGGGCTGTAGAGTCACCACAGGAAGGAGCCTGTACTTCCCCCATGCGATTTAGAAAAGATACAATTTGGGCCATGCTTGGTGCATCTAGCATCATCTTGGGACAAAGCCATATGATTCAGGTCAAAGTTTTGGAAGTTAACTCCTCCCATTATTAATTGCTCCTTTCCAAGGCCTTAATGTGACATTCTGTCAGGGTCTGGCCATGGTGGCAGATGTCCCTACACTTTCATTCAGAGAAGCAGCAGCTGTGAATATACCACTGCAGTATTTCTAATGACATCTTTAGTCATGAAACAACATACTGCATACTGCACTACCATATATCCAGGCAGAGGAGTGGCCAGCGTTCTCCAGCGTTTCGGTGAAACACTAAATATGGATTAGTTTGAAATGCAGTTTACCCAGGAGTAAGCTCAATAAGGTCATTCTGATTAATGAAAATGTGGGAAAAAAAAAGGTGACATGTACAAGGAAACAGTGCTGTTCATACTCTTGAAATAGACTTTTCTTTGAGACAAAAGTAATGACATTTGGTTCATTTTCACAAATTGCACACTGGGAGAGATCACACAATTACTGCAGGGAACTGTAGGCAAGCAGTTTGGTCATAGGAATTTGTTTCTTTGTCTTGTTTTAAATAAAAAAGCTGTATGAAATGCATAGCTTTGATTAACCTAAAGATACAGTTTCCCTCTCTGTAAAACTCCAGATTTAGGATGCTGGCAAAAGGCAGTGCGGGCAAAGTATTTAACGTACATGGAAATGCTATTCTATTTTGGCTTCCAGAAGTAGCCCTAGTAAATTCTATGCACCAATGCATTGGCTAATAATGATAATTAATTTCAGTTTTACTATAAATTATCTAAATGTCACTTAAGTACTTAAGAAGTAGCGCTCGCTCCTTTCTAGAAGCTGTCTAAGGCAGCTGATGCGTAAAGCACCTCAACTAGACCTCCAACTAGTTCAGCAGTTCAATCTGTGCCCCTCGGCCACAGGACTGCCCTCTGGATCCCTCAATACACAGCTCCCCCTGCTGGGGACTTTTCACGTTCCTTTCCACCTTGTCAAAGGCAGTCCAGGCAAGGAAGGGAAACATCAAAAACTCGATAGCCAAGGACTGCTCCATGTAGCAATCTCAATTCTAAGAATTAATTACATGGGTGCGAGGAACACAAAAATTCCACCTCACAGAAGATAAATGAGCTACACTCACACTGCCAACTCTTCAGGGATTCTCCCCACTATCTCCTCAGAAAACATGCTTTGTTTGTGATACCATTTACTGCTGTTGGTCAGACTTTGATTTACACTATGTTAACTTTCATCTCAATCATCTCAGCCTTCGTGTGATTTGCTTATTGTGTTTCTCTAGTTTTCACTGAACACAGTGCAAACAAAGGCAAAGACTGAAGCAATCATTTCAAAAACAAGAGCTCACACTACAAACACACATGAGCATCACATATTGAAACGTAGGCTTTCTCTTGTCTTTATTCTGGGGAGGAGGAATCCTCCTCGTCATCTTCCTCGTCTTCATCATTGAATGAACAGGGGGTCTCGCCTCGGGACTCAGAGCAGTGAGAGGCTGCACTGCTGGACTGGTGACTGTTTGGGGCCAGGAACTGCCCAGTTGCTAAGGCCACTTCTGCATCCAAGCATAACCCTTGGTTTACACTAGCAAACAATTAAAAACACACAGGCTCATTAATCTGGTAGAAACAGTTCTGTAAAACATAGGAATAAAAAGATAGGAAGGAGGTGCCATTGGTGAGATCTGCCACAAACCTGCTCAGCAGTAACATGAGCCCGGCTCACCCCCACACAGTCAGGGCTCTGGGGTTTGCCTTTCTAACCCTGAAAACAATACATACCTTGACTGGGGTAAGGTGGCACCAGTGGTCAGGTCTAAATTTGAACCTGATTGGGTAGAGTTCAGAAGTAGTCCCTGATTTAACCAAGAAGGTCCTGTGGAGATATCTAAAGGAAAAAATGAGAAGAAAACAATGTAAGTCCTGCAAGTTCTGTGGCTGCTGCTGATAGTCTGAAGCAAGCAGAGAAAGCAAGAGCAAGGCTTATTCTTCATTAGACAGGTCTCTTGCTCCGAGAAAAACCCAGGTTTCCTCATCTTCTTGGAAGAAAGAAAACTTCTAGAACATAAAATAAGGGAAAAAAAAAATACAGGAAGGAAGCTTATGGACAGAAGGAATTAAAATGAAAACATTCTACAGACACTTTCTTACTGTTTTTTTCTTAGATAAGCCCTCCAGAGCCCAGCCCTCAGGGTACTGCCCAGTGTACTATCCTCAATGCCTGCTGCCCTCACCACTAAATACCTGGACTTTGGGGTTAAGAGCCAAAGCCAGGAGTGGCGACAGAGAAAGTCAAATCAGAAATATCTGAGGTAAGCCGGGCACAGTGGCTCATGCATGTAATCTCAGCACTTTGGGAGACTGAGGTGGGCGGATCACGAGGTCAGGAGATCGAGACCATCCTGGCTAACATGATGAAACGCCATCTCTACTAAAAATAAACACACACACACAAATTAGGTGTGGTGGCAGGAGCCTTTAGTCCCAGCTACGTGGGAGGCTGAGACAGGAGAATCGCTTAAACTCAGGAGGCAGAGGTTGCAGTGAACCAAGATTACAACACTGCACTCCAGCTTGGTTGACAGAGCGAGACTCTGTCTCAAAACACAAGAAGAAATACCTGAGGTAAGAAGGCCACCCTGCTTCAGGGCAGACAGATCTGTTTTGGCCAAAACCCACACCGCACTGTCTTTTCAGGTGCGTGCTTGGTAAACTCAATGCTGCTACTTATGAAAAATACCTCTTCTTTTTTCCTGACAAGATTCTTCCTGGTGTCCTTTGTTTCCTAATTCAAACTAGCTCTTATTTTAAGAGTCTCATGCTCTACCCACTGAGCTAGCCGGGCACTGGCTGACTAGCTTTTATTTTTAAAAGGTCACGTGCAGTCACGTTTTTAATGACAGGGAGACAGACATTACTGTTTTAGTCTACAGAAATTTTGGGCTGGGCACGGTGGCTCACGCCTGTAATCCCAGTACTTTGGGAGGCCAAAGTGGGTGGTTCACCTAAGGTCGGGAGTTGGGAGACCAGCCTGACCAACGTGGAGAAACCCCATCTCTACTGAAAGTACAAAATTAGCCGGGTGTGCCTGTAATCCTAGTTACTGGGGAGGTTGAGGCAGGAGATTCGCTTGAACCTGGGAGTCGGAGGTTGCAGAAAGCCAAGATTGTGCCATTGCACTCCAGCCTGGGAAACAAGAGCGGAACTCCATCTCAAAACTAACAAAATATTTTGGGTATCTCCTTGCCATCATCTTTTCTACACATATACCACATTTCTCCTATGACAACACAACACAATCAATTCTTTTTTTTTTTTTTTTTCTTTTGAGACGGAGTTTCACCCTTGTTACCCAGGCTGGAGTGCAATGGCGCGATCTCGGCTCACCGCAACCTCCGCCTCCTGGGCTCAGGCAATTCTCCTGCCTCAGCCTCCTGAGTAGCTGGGATTACAGGCACGAGCCACCACGCCCAGCTAGTTTTTTTGTATTTTTAGTAGAGACAGGGTTTCACCATGTTGACCAGGATGGTCTCGATCTCTCGACCTCGTGATCCACCCGCCTCGGCCTCCCAAAGTGCTGGGATTACAGGCTTGAGCCACCGCGCCCGGCCAACACAATCAATTCTTATTGTAATTTTACTGGTTTAATACTTTTATCATCCCATCTATAGTGTTAGCTCAAAGAAGGCAGTAACTGGAACATATGAGATCTAACTTTGAGTACAGTGTCTCATGCCTATAGTACCAGCACTTTGGGAGGCTGAGACCAGCTTACAAACATAGCAAAACCCTATCTGTATTAAAAATACAAAAATTAGCCAGGCATGTTAACAGATGTCTGTAATCCCAGCTATTGGAGAGGCTGAAGGAAGAGAACTGCTTGAACCCAGGAGGTGGAGGTTACAGTGAGCTGAGATTGTGCCACTGCACTCCAGCACGGGTGACAGAGCAAGACTGGCTTAAAAAAAAAACTACATATTACTAAATGAGTATAGTCTCTGTCAGCTGCCACTTATGAAATAAGAGGTATATATAGTATCAAAAATGATTTCTAAAAAGATTTTTTTTTTTTTTTTTTGAGACAGAGTTTCGCTCTTGTTACCCAGGCTGGAGTGCAATGGTGCGATCTCGGCTCACCGCAACCTCCGCCTCCTGGGCTCAGGCAATTCTCCTGCCTCAGCCTCCTGAGTAGCTGGGATTACAGGCACGCGCCACCATGCCCAGGTAATTTTTTGTATTTTTAGTAGAGACAGGGTTTCACTATGTTGACCAGGATGGTCTCGATCTCTTGACCTCGTGATCCACCCGCCTCGGCCTCCCAAAGTGCTGGGATTACAGGCTTGAGCCACCGCGCCTGGCAAAAAAAACCTACATATTACTAAATGAATGAGTATAGTCTCTGTCAACTGCCACTTATTTCATAAAGAGGTATATACATTAAAAATAATTCCTAAAAAGATTTTCTATAAGCCCAAGCACATACTCAGAAAATGTAATCTGCCAAAATGAGCTATGATTTAATTTAATACAAACGTTTTTGCAATCACTCTAAAAAAAAAACTATATGATTTAGATTGGAAACTCTGGTATCCAACTAAGAGGCCATTCCCATGTAGGAAAAAGTAAACTAAATGACTATGCTAATTTTAGAATTGTCTTATGAACCTTTTTCTTTGAGGCAGCTGTGGAAAAAAAAGAGACTTCAAGTCTAAGAAGAATAGCAGACTTTAAATACATTAAATAACAACAAGTCTGTACAAGAAAATTAAAGCCAGAATCCTGTGCTGAATATTAATTAGTATGTAGAACTATAGAAACCTTCTGTCAGAATATAGCTATTTACTTGTTTGTGAGCATAACACATTACATTCTCTTTTTACAATGGATTGGAAAAGCCTACATTTCTTTCCCATTATCACAGGATCCGCACAATGATTCTCACTCTCTCACCCAGAGCCATTCTGCCTCTTTACACACGAGAGGCACATGTTTCTTCCTTTGAACTGCCCAGAAAGTCTGTATCCCAGTCTGCAAAATGAGGTCACAAAGAGATCAAAACCACAGAGCCTGCCTAATCACTCTGAGCCTTTTCACTGGGAATAAGCTAAAATAAAGTTCTGGTGATTTATTGAGTAAGCCCTTTGTTCAGATTCTGCTGGCCTCCCAATGACACAGCAGGACCCAGGCTGGAGAGCGTGGGGAGAGGAGGGCTGGGTGGGGAAACGAAACAGGTGGGCCAAGGGGCAAGGACAGGCAGGGCGGGGGCTTGCAGGGATGGATGGTGCCAACCAAAGAACTAAAAGAGAAACCGAATTTCAGCCAACAAACTCTTCCATTGTGAGCAAAGGGCCAAACCACAGAATAAAACAAAATTAAAACGACCTTTTTGCTAACATTAGATTTAATATATCTTAGAGCTAGTATTAAAATGCCTTTAAAAAGTGATGTGAAATTCGGTTATACTTATAAATGAAAGAAACAAAAGCAAGCAAAGGGAAAAACATTGTTTATATACTCAATTTTCATTTTCTTTTAGATAAGAGTTTCTCTCTGTTGCCCAGGTTGGAATGCAGTGATAGGCCCTCCGCGTCCCAGGTTCAAGTGATTTTCCTGCCTTGGCCTCTTAAGTAGCTGGAATACAGGCAAGTGTGTCACCATACCTGGCTAATTTTTATATTTTTAGTAGAGACAGGATTTTGACATGGTGGCCAGGCTGGTCTCGAACTCCTGACCTCAAGTGATTTGACTGCCTCAGCCTCCCAAAGTGCTGGGATTACAGGCGTGAACAACCACACCCCAATTAGTGAAAAAAATCTTAATTATAGGACATGAAAACCAAAGCATTATGTTTTATAAGTATATTCAGTATACTTTTACAACTCATAATAAAAAGAAGTCACTCAGCCAGGCACGGTGGCTCACACCTATAATCACAGCACTTTGGGAGACTGAGCCAGACGGATCACCTGAGGTCAGGAGTTTGAGACCAGCCAGGCCAACATAGTGAAACCACATCTCTACTAAAAATACAAAAAAATTAGCTGGGTGTGGTGGCTCGTGCTTGTAATCCCAGCTACTTGGAAGGCTGAAGCAGGAGAATCGCTAGAACCCAGGAGGTGAAAGTTGCAGTGAACTGAGATAGTGCCATTGCACTCTAGCCTGGGCAACAAGAGCAAAGCTCTGTCTCAAAAAAAAACAAAACAAAACAAAAAACAGACCAACCCCCCTCCACCAGCGAAAAAGCCCCATACAAGTAATTCTACTTAAAAATGGGCAAAGGGGGCCAGGCATGGTAGCTCACGCCTGTAATTCCAGCACTTGAGGAGGCTGAGGCAGGCAAATCACAAGGTTAGAAGTTTGAGATCAGCCTAGCCAACATAGTGAAACCCTGTCTCTACTAAATCTACTAAAAATACAAAAAATAGCCGGGCGTGGTGGCGGGTGCCCGTAATCCCAGCTACTCAGGAGGCTGAGGAAGGGAGAACTGCTTGAACTGGGGAAGCGGAGGATGCAGTGAGCCGAGATTGCGCCACTACACTCCAGCCTGGGCGGCAAGAGCAGGACTCCATCTCAAAAAAAAAAAAAAAAAAAAAAAAAAAAATCACCAAAGAATATATTACTATGATTTTGTTTATATAGACGCTAGAAATAGGCAAAACAAAATAATAAATTATTTCAAGTTTACCATTTTGGTTGTATCTCTAAAAAAAACAACTGAGGCCGGGCATGGTGGCTCATGCCTGTAATCCCAACACTTTGGGAGGCTGAGTTGGGCAGATAACGAGTTCAGGAGTTTGAGACCAGCCTGGCCAACATGGCAAAACCCCGTCTCTACTAAAAATACAAAAATTAGCCAGCATGGTGGCAGCCGCCTGTAATCTCAGCTACTCAGGAGGCTGAGGTAGGAGAATCGCTTGAACCCAAAAAGAGCAGGTTGCAGTGAGCCGAGATCGTGCCAGTGCACTCCAGCCGGGGTGACCAAGTGAGATTCTGTCTCAAAGAAAAGAGGAGCCACGTACACAAATGTGAATCCAGGTTTGTCCTATTCTGCCCTTTTTTCCTCTGACACTTAAACTTTTTTTTTTTTTTTGAGACGGAGTTTCGCTCTTGTTACCCAGGCTGGAGTGCAATGGCGCAATCTCGGCTCACCGCAACCTCCGCCTCCCAGGTTCAGGCAATTCTCCTGCCTCAGCCTCCTGAGTAGCTAGGATTACAGGCACGCGCCACCATGCCCAGCTAATTTTTTGTATTCTTAGTAGAGACGGGGTTTCACCATGTTGACCAGGATGGTCTCGATCTCTTGACCTCGTGGTCCACCCGCCTCGGCCTCCCAAAGTGCTGGGATTACAGGCTTGAGCCACCGCGCCCGGCGACACTTAAACTTTTAATACACTCTTCCTTTCTGAATTCAATTAATCACATGATATTTTTAATTTGATGTGTGGACAGATAATAGATATATTAAATTTTCCATTAGAGGAAGGTAGGATGTACCTATTTTCTTTTTATTTTTGAGATGGGGTTTCACTCTTGTTGCCCAGGCTGGAGTGCAATGGCACAATCTTGGCTCATTGTGACCTCCACCTCCGGGGTTGAAGGGATGCTCCTGCCTCAGCCTCCCAAGTAGCTGGGATTATAGGCGCATACCACCACACCTGGCTAATAAAAAAATTTTTTTTTTAGTAAAGACAGGGTTTCACCATGTTGGCTCGGCTGGTCTCAAACTCCTGACCTCAGGTGATGCACCTGTCTTGGCCTCCCAAAGTGCTGGGATTACAGGTGTGAGCCACTGCACCCAGCTAGGATCTACCTACTTTCTTTTGTAAATTATGCAAAGTTTTCCTTGACATATCCACAGGGCACTAAAAGATTATTATTATTATTTTTTTTTTTTTCTGAGATGGAGTTTCGCTCTTGTTACCCAGGCTGGAGTGCAATGGCACGATCTCGGCTCACTGCAACCTCCGCCTCCTGGGCTCAGGCAATTCTCCTGCCTCAGCCTCCTAAGTAGCTGGGATTACAGGCACGTGCCACCACGCCCAGCTAGTTTTTTGTATTTTTAGTAGAGACGGGGTTTCACCATGTTGACCGGGATGGTCTCGATCTCTTGACCTCGTGATCCACCTGCCTCGGCCTCCCAAAGTGCTGGGATTACAGGCTTGAGCTACCACGCCCGGCCCAAAAGATTATTTTTTAAAACTCTCTCATCAAGCTTTTACTTGCTTACTCTAACTATGCTCTGAGCTAAATACTGGGAATTACAGATAGAATATCTCTCTGAAGTGCCAAATTTAGTGCTGAGTGAGCCAATTTAGATGTAACAATATATAATGTGTAGTATATAGATATAAGTTAATAATGTTATGAAACAATCTATTCAATCTAATTTTTTAAAAAAGTTCCTAAATTAAAGTGTTAAAAGTTTCAGTTTGTCCATACAAGCACAGATGTTCTAAAAATCTGCGATTTTCTATGAGAAAGGTTTTAACAAGTTTGTATTCGACATTTAATCAGGGCCAACACATGAAAGCATCAGTTAACATACCTGTGATATAACCTTCTAAAGCCTTTGGCACCAGAGATTTCGCAAGTTTCAGATCCTCCAGGGAGCATTTGCCTGACTCCAGGCCAAATGACATTCCCATCCGCTTTAGTACTTCTATGTCATCGTGGATCTCAAAGGTGTTGTCAAAATTGAAAAGATACTCAAACCTGAATTAGGAAACAAAGTGAAGGGTTTCTGGTGGTGCTAAGGTCTGAATAGTTTCGTATTCTGTACTTGAAGTAACAGAATACGGGCCTAAATCCAGCTATGGTGCTAGAAATTGTTACCATTTAGAACCATGAGTCATTCTGCTCTGTCAGGGGAATGACATCTCAAATAAAACATTTTCCCAATTAAAACAACATTCCTCTGACAGAAGACAGAAATTTTGTTCTAAATCTAGTACTTTTCAAAGTTGCCTAGAGCTCTGCCACAAAAGAAAAGTCTTTCTACTTTAATATTACGATAACCCTAGTCCAACTTAGCCTGTTAGCTTTGAGGAAAACAACATTTTGAATGCTTACTTCATTTTCATGAGTCAAATGTTAGCTATGACCTACTTTAGATAAGTAATAGACTTTCCACAAATGAAAACAACCCCAAATCCTGTCCTGAGAGGCTAAGCAGTAACATGTTTTAAGAGTGTCAAAGTGTCACACGTAACACACAGCACATTTCCAAATATGCTGGAAAAGTACCCAAACTAGATGCCTAGCTTCCCAGCAGCCCAGCATAACATTTCAATCAAGAAGCAGAAGAAGGAAGACACAGTCCTTCTGACTCCTAGGCTAGTCCTGGAGCACCTTCATCATTGGCCTCAGCCCTGCAGGGACAGGGTTCAGAGACAGCAGTAGGTTTCACCTGGTCATGAATTTCTATTAAAATCATGTGAGGGTAAAACTTTTAAGATAATTTGAAAAACAGATTATCTTAGGAGCAAAAATTATAATTTGAAGCAAAATGCCAATTTAAGTAATCTAAAGTAAATGAATTTGATTGAAGTACAATAACAACTTTTTAGAAAAAATAAAATCTGAAGTAGGTAGCTGCCCCAGGGATGATTTCAGGCATCTGTTAAAAGCAGACAGTTTTGTAAATGTAGTAATTGTGGAAAGCCTCCTAGCTAATTACGGGAAAAGACTGCATCACCGAAGTAACTGAAAGACAGGGTTTTTGGACTTACCTTGTATAATAAGCTTGTACAGGCTACTCAGAACCTCCTTCCCTCCACTCAAAGGAGGGCCAGGAAAGGGCATGAGTCAGGGACCACCCAAGAGATGGAAACCTCACCAGATTCCAGCCTGGGAGAACAGTGTCCATAATTCCCCTGGGCCAATGATTCCCAGATTTTCCTGTCATTCTTTATAGACTGAAAAGACTAACCTAAGAAAATAATTGTATAATTATCTATACAAAACAAGACACTAACTAGAGAGATTAACTAGAATGCCAAGTTTTGTGTTTTTTATCTGAAAAAATGCTAACCATTTTCTGGAAGTCTCAGTTTTTTCTTTTTCTTTTTGTTTTGAGACGGAGTTTCGCTCGTTACCCAGGCTGGAGTGTAATGGCGTGATCTCGGCTCACTGCAACCTCCGCCTCCTGGGTTCAGGCAATTCTCCTGCCTCAGCCTCCTGAGTAGCTGGGATTACAGATTGGGCGCCACCATGCCCAGCTAATTTTTTGTATTTTTAGTAGAGACAGGGTTTCACCATGTTGACCAGGATGGTCTCAATCTTTTGACCTTGTGATCCACCCGCCTCGGCCTCCCAAAGTGCTGGGATTATAGGCGTGAGCCACTGCACCCAGCCCTTTTTCTTTTTTGCGCAAGACAAAGTCTTGTTCTATTGCCTAGGCTGGAGTACAGTGGCACAATCTTGGCTCACTGCAACCTCCCGCTCCCAGGTTCAAGAGGGTCTCCTGCCTCAGCCTCCTGAGCAGCTGGGATTACAGGAACTCACCAGCATACCCATCTAATTTTGCTCAGGCTGGTCTCAAACTCCTGACCCACTTGTGATCTGCCCACCTCAAGCCCCCAAAGTGCTGGGATTATAGGCATAATCCATTGCGCTCAGCCTGAATTCTCCGTTTTCTGAGACTATGTTAATGGTCCTCTTTGACATATGTTTTATGAAGAATTTGCAAGTGCGTGGAAAATAATTCATATACCTACCACTTACCACTGTCCTGGGTTCTATATTAATTTATCCGTATCTTTTGGAAACTGGCAAGGTAAATTCTTTAATTCTCATTTTCATGGAAAAAGGAACATGATCTCAGAGAGGTTAAGAAACTTAGAAGATTAAAAAAACGAATCAGCTGCCAGACAAGGTGGCTCATGCTTATAATCCCAGCCTTTTGGGAGGCTGAGGTGGGCGGGTCACAAGGTCAAGAGATCAAGACCATCCTAGCCAACATGGTGAAACTCTGTCTCTACTAAAAATAGAGAAATTAGCTGGGTATCGGGGTACGTGCCTACAGTTCCAGCTACTTGGGAGGCTGAGGCAGGTGACTTGCTTGAACCTGAGAGGTGGAGGTTGCAGTGAGCCCAGATCACACCGCTGCACTCCGGCCTGCTGACAGAGTGAGACTCTACCTCAAACAGAAAAAAAAAAAAAAAAAAAAAAAAAGATCAGTTTTAGATGGCCAAGGAGGTGTGCACACCTGCAGTCCCTGTTACTAGGAAGGCTGAGGCAGGGGGACTGCTTGAGTCCAGGAGTTTGAGGCTGCAGTGAGCTATGATCATGCCTGAAAACAGCCACTGCACTCTAGCCTGGGCAACAGTGAGAACAGTGAGAATCCACTATTTAAAAAAAAAAAGATGGATCTGTTTTACTTCATAACCTACATGGTCTCTACTATTTCTTTTTGTGTCTATAGTCTCAATTATCAAATAACTTTGAAATTCCTGCTGTTTTTCTTTTCTTTTTGAGGGTAGAGTCTCGCTCTGTCAGTCAGGCTGGACTGCAGTGGTGCAATCTTGGCTCACTGCAACCTCTGTCTCAAGGGTTCAAGCAATTCTCCTTCCTCAGCCTCCCTAGTAGCTAGAACTACAGGTGTGCACTACCACACCCAGCTATTTTTCTTCTTATTTTTTGAGACAGATTTTCACTCTTGGTGCCCAGGCTGGAGTGCAATGGTGTGATCTCGGCTCACCACAACCTCTGCCTCCTGGGTTCAAGTGATTCTCCTGCCTCAGCCTCCAGAGTAGCTGGGATTACAGGCGTGCGCCACCACGCCCAGCTAATTTTGTATTTTCAGTAGAGACAGGGTTTCTCCATGTTGGCCAGGCTGGTCTTGAACTCCTGACTTCAGGTGATCTACTCACCTCAGCCTCCCAAAGTGCTGGGATTAATGGTATAAGCCACTGTCCTGGCTCTAGTTTTTCTATTTTTAGCAGAGTTGGGGTTTCACTATGTTGGCCAGTCTGGTCTCGAAATCCTGACCTCAAGTGATCTACCTGCCTTGGCCTCCCAGCGTGCTAGGATCCCAGCCGACTGTTTTTCTTCTTTCATGTGTGTGGCTTCTTACCCAAGTAGCCTGGAATCTCAGGATACAACAGAGACAGGCAGGGGGCGCAAAAGCGCCAGGAAGAAGAGTGAGAAAAACAAGTGGCAGTGAACACCAAGGGCAATTCCACGGCTCTGGGGGATCAGAGTTCCAGTCTCCCAGGGACAGTTCTGGGGTACACCTGTGGTACTGATGCAATTATTAGAGTCATCTTTTGCATTAACATTCCAATTTGAACAATAAATTATAGACTGACCTTCTGTAACAGCAGCTAACATTTAAAAAGCGCCTGCCTTGAGTCATTAGAGACATTAACTCATTTAATCCTCACAAGAAGGCTGGGAAGTGATAGGAGCCCCAATATCATTCCTATTTGTTCTTAAGAAAACAGAGCTTTGGAGAAGTGACAGAGGAGCCACAACCTGTATGAGCGTCTATCTCACTCTGCACCCTATACATACTCTTAACTCTTTTATGGTACTGGTCACAGCCTGAAGACCACTGAGAAACTTTTTCATGAATGGTAAAATAAATCACAAATTAATTCTATATTTTGAAAAGGGCTACTACTTATTTGCTATGCTAAATATTACCATTAATCTTAGTTAAAATGTAAAAACAATTTAAAGAAAGCAAAGAATGTGCCAGGTATTTCCACATCTATTAATACATTAATTAATAAACAGAAGCATGCATGACTATGATATAGCAGGACAAATAATTGCTTTAATGCCACATGTTGGCCTAAAATATTTCCATAATAAGCTATGACAGTGAATCACCAATGAATCTACCTTGTCCCAGACCCATGGTGCTGGGCTAGCTTACCGCAGTTACTTGCTCAGAGTTACCACATACATGCAGCATGTCATAGCTTGGGCCCAGACACCGCCATACACATATAACAGATAGCACAGTGCCTGGCACAACACAAGGGACCATGGAGGGTGAGGGGTGGCGCACCCATATTTCAGGAGGTGTTTCATGTGCCCTAAGGAAGCCAGCCTTGGAGGGCTGCAGATAATGGGAATACAATCTTTCCTGAGTTTGCAAATGATATGACTATGTGAACAGAAGGCCAGCCCTGCACCCATCCCCTAGTTCTCCACTCACTTGTCACTGGAGATGCTGCAATCTATGACTGTTTTTCTGCTTGTATTGATAATTATAAATGGCAGCTGAATGGTAGAGTTCAGAGCTGGAGGGCCCTGGTTTTGCTGCTCATTTTGTCGATTTCTCTGTACCAGGTTTTTGAAAGCGATTTGCTGTAATAATCAATAAAAAGAATATGGTCAAATGCACATAAGTGAGCTGGAATTTAAAAGAATTAAGATAATACATTTAAAATGTGGTTTAAAATAAGACAGTTTAAAGAGACATCTCCCCTGCATGAATGAATTAAAAAATTAAACATTTAAGAAAGAATGATCCAACTCAATATACATTTTTCCACCATCCATAGAAACAGGACCTCACAATCTGGGAGAGAGCCAGTAGGCACCTGGAACTCTTCAGCAAATGACACAGCAAAGGTGACACCATTTATCTAACACAGACTCTTGAGGGTTTGGGGTCAAATATGCCCTTCAGGATGTCTAGCCCAGGGATATGCAAACATTTTCAAGCCACAAAATCCTTTTTTCAAATAAAATCTCACTGGAGGCTGGGCACAGTGGCTCACGTCTGTCATGGCAACATTTTGAGAGGCCAAGGCAGGTGGATTGCCTGACTCCAGGAGTTTAAGGCCAACCTGGGCAACATGGCGAAACCATCTCTCTACAAAAAATACAAACACTAGCTGGGCGTGGTGTTATGTGCCTTTAGTCCCAGCTACTCAGGAGGCTGAGGTGGAAGGATCGTTTGAACCCAGGAGGCAGAATTTGCTATGAGCAGAGATCATGCCACTGCACTCCAGCCTGGGTGACAGAGTGAAAACCTGTCTCAAAAAACAAAACACAAAAAATTCTTAAAAGTCTCATCTAAGCGGTGGCTCATGCCTGTAATCCTAGCACTTTGGGAGGCTGAGGTGGGTGGATCACCTGAGGTCAGGAGTTCAAGACCAGCCTGGCCATCATGGTGAAACCCCATCTTAAAAAAAAAAAAAAAAAAGTCTCACTTAAAACAGATGGAAGTGGCACTGTTCAGGCTAGCTGCAGTAAGGCTGGGTCCTAAGCTCTGCCATCTCTGCCCTCAAGCATAGCCACATGGCTTCTAAGGCACCTCCACAGAACTTCTCAGCATTCTGTGGGCACAGTTTGGAATCCAGCCCCAGCCTTCCCTCACCAGACACTTCCAAATGAGGCAACTGAGGCTCGGCACTAATTGTAAGATACATCAAGGCCTAAATCTTTTTACTGGCTCTTGCTGCTACTTTTAATTAGAACCAATACTCAAAAGCCAAAGAAAGTTATCTCCCTTTTAGACAGAGGTTGCAGTGAGCTGAGATGGCAGCATTGCAGTCCAGTCTGGGCAACAAGAGCGAAACTCTGTCTCAAAAAAAAAAGTGATTTCAAGCCGGGCGCGGTGGCTCAAGCCTGTAATCCCAGCACTTTGGGAGGCCAAAGCGGGTGGATCACGAGGTCGAGAGATCGAGACCATCCTGGTCAACATGGTGAAACCCCGTCTCTACTAAAAATACAAAAAATTAGCTGGGCGTGGTGGCGCGTGCCTGTAATCCCAGCTACTCAGGAGGCTGAGGCAGGAGAATTGCTTGAACCCAGGAGGTGGAGGTTGCGGTGAGCCGAGATCGCGCCATTGCACTCCAGCCTGGGTAACAAGAGCGAAACTCCGTCCCCCCCGCCCCCCCCACAAAAAAAAGTGATTTCCTTTTTTTATCCCCCCCAGTATTCAAAACAAGATTTCCTTTTTTTAAATAAGGAAAATGTGTAACAGAATTTCACAGACTCAAGAAGCAGATAACATTTTAAAAGTTCCTTGTCAGAGCCATTCATTCCCCTTCTTAGCTTGTTACATCTTGTCACCCAGTAGTGATAAATATACTTTTTATATTTTAGCAATCTGATGATCAGTATTGTTCACTTCAGGTTCTATGATTACTATTATTGGCCAGGCATAGTGGCTCACATCTGTAATCTCAGAACTCTGGGAGGCCAAAGTGGGAAGTTCCCTTGAGCCTAGGAGTTCGAGGAGGCAGTGAGCTATGACTGTGCCACTACACTCCAGCCTGGGCAACAGAGGCCCTTTCTCAAGAATAAAAAAAGAAAAACGGCCAGGCATGGTGGCTCATGCCTGTAATCCAAGCACTTTGGAGGCCAAGGCAGGCAGATCACCTGAGGTTGGGAGTTCAAGGCCAGCCTGACCAAGATGGTGAAACTCCATCTTTATTTTAAAAAAAGGAAAAAGAGGTCGGGTGCAGTGGCTCACACCTGTAATCCCAGCACTTTGGGAGGCCAAGGTGAGCAGATCACAAGGTCAGGAGTTCGAGACCAGTCTGGTGAAACCCTATACAATACAAAAATTACTTGTCTCTAATACAAATACAAAAATTAGACAGGTGTGGTGGCATGCACCTGTAGTACTTGGGAGGCTGAGGTTGCAGTAAGCCGAGATTGTACCACTGCACTCCAGCCTGGGTGACAGAGACTCTGACTCAATCCCCCCCCCAAAAAAAAAAAAAGAAAAGGAAAGGGAAGGAAAGCAAAGCGACAGGAAGGGGAAGGGAAAGAGGAAGGCAGAGGGAAGAGAAAAGAGATTACTATTATCTTAAAATGGCTGAGTTCTACCTTCCCAAAAAGGGAACATTTACTCTTTTGAAATGCACATAAAAGAATGGACACCAATTTATTGTAGAGCTAACAGTGTATCCCAAAATCACTATCAATAACTAGCACTGTCAATATCATTACCAAATATTATTAAGGTTATGCCTCTTTGTTATTTTCTGTTGCTAAATAACTAATTCATTGCTTAATTCACTTAATAATGAGGAAAAATTATGCTGAAACTGTGGAACTGAGAAAAAGAATTAAATGCTAGAATATCCCTGCATAGCTTTTCTTCCCTTTCACTAGACTACACATCTCAAGAGCTGTTCCAAACTTTGCCTAGTTTGGCGTCCCTAGTGCCGCAAGAGGACTTTGGTATACGGGGGATTATAAGCAGTGATAGCTAATGGCCTTTATGACATATTTGTAATTCACTGTTTAATGCTATGTACATTTAATAGTATCAATGGTTTTTCAAGTGAAGAGAGCAGTAAAACCCTAATGTTTATTATTATTTTGAGATGGAGTTTCGCTCTTGTTGCCCAGGTTGGAGTGCAATGGCACCACCTTGGCTCACCACAACCTCGCCTCCCGGGTTCAAGTGATTCTCTTGCCTCAGCCTCCTAAGTGGCTGGGATTATAGGCGTGCACTACCACATCCAGCTAATTTTTTGTATTTTTAGTAGACACAGGGTTTCTCCATGTTGGTCAGGCTGGTCTCGAACTTCCAACCTCAGGTGATCTGCACCTCCCTTGGCCTCCTAAAGTGCTGGGATTATAGGCATGAACCACCATGCCTGGCCATAATGTTGTTGTTGTTGTTTTTTAACACTCACAAATTTCATATACCACATAATGTGATTTTGATAGCAAAAGGAAAAATAATATCCCACTTATTTTGAACTGACTTCCTTATTTGTTGCCTTTTGATTTTCTTGGGTCTTTTTTTCTTTTTAAAACTCATTAACATCTATTCCAGAGGCTGAACAGCTTTAAGTGTGTTCATTCATTTTCCTATGCATTTGTTATGGAAAAGTTTAAGGACTGGAAGGGTCAATTACATTGATAAAAATAGGATATGTGGATTATCTACAGGTTTGCTTTACTCACATCATTTCTCTACTACATTATGAAAAAAACAAGAGAGGTGGTAGCATGTAGTAGAGACTAGGTTTCTCCATGTTGATCAGGCTGGTCTCGAACTCCTGAGCTCAGATGATCTGCCCACCTCAGCCTCCCAAAGTGTTGGGATTACAGGTGTGAGCCACCATGCCCGACCTTCGGAAATACACTTTATGTTTACCAGAAGCCCACAAGTCGATTTCAGTTATATTTTGGGTTTCATTTTAATTTAGAGAGACATGTTTCTATAAATGTTGACAGGTAGGCTGCCCCTGGGTGGAAATCTTCTATAAATATTTGGTTTGAGAGGTAGGAGAGAAAAAAGTTCAGGACTTTTAAAATAAAGAACAATATTCATGGTACAGAAGTAAGCAGAGAAAAAATACTCAATTTCATTCTTTGCACCAGGCATCTAAAGATGGGAAGGTCCCACACACATGAGGGCGATCTTGCCCAGCACCATTCTTTCTGATAAGCAGATAACTGTAGGCATGCTGATAAACAGGTTTTTAAAAATAACATGCCAAAAAAAAAAATTAAGCTCCAAAATGTTCCACGGTTTTGAGGAAATTCCAGGAAGGCCTCAGCACAGGGTTTGGGGCACCAGCTGCTGGGGGATACTGCAGATAACTATGCAGGGATAGGGACGACAGAGAGGTAGCCAGGGCAAGAAGATGACAGCACAGGAGTTCAAGGAGGTACATTTGGTAGAATTCTACAGGTAGGAGCACAGAAATAAACTGTCAGTTTTAGCTTTTTTTTTTTTAAGCTGCACAATATTCTCTTCAAATAAAACCATTTGTGTGTGTCTGCGTTTGTGTATGTATGTATTGAAATAGAGTATCACTCTGTCACCGAGGCTGGAGTGTAGTGGTGCGATCTCAGCTCACTGCAACCTCCATCTCCCAGGTTCAAGCAATTCTCCTGCCTCAGCCTCCCGAATAGCTGGGATTACAGGTGCCTGCCACCACGCCTGGCTAATTTTTGTATTTTTAGTAGAGACAGGGTCTCACCATGTTGGCCAGGCTGGTCTCGAACTCCTAACCTCAGGTGATCCTCCCATCTTGGCCTCCCAAAGTGCTGGGATTATAGGCATGAGCCACCACGCCTAGCCCAATACTTTATGTGGAAACTCAGTATGTCAAGTATACAAAATGTCTGGTCCAGTACTAGCTCTTCAGGTAGGTCCCACGGGGTTCAGTGTGAAAACCAGACATGGAACACAGTAAGAAAGAGAAAAATGGCCTCGCAAGGATGGAATGTTGTCATCTCTGGGACTTTCTGTGTTCGCAAAGTCCCTGCTTTATTGGCTGGCTGCTCTCCTCTGCCCGGGCCCTGCTTCCTTTCCTACTCCCTACACTCCGATCAACCACAGAGCTTTGGAAGGGCTACAGTGTCTTCTTGTGCTTCTCTGATTTATACATGAATATAAAAAAACAAAACAAACCCCCAAAGCACATGTAAGCACCTAGAAAGTGAAGATCAGAAAGTATTTGGAACACATATATATATATTTAGAGACTGAGTTTTGCTCTTGTTGCCCAGGCTGGAGTGCAATGGTGTGATCTTAGCTCACTGCAACCCCTGCCTCCTGGGTTCAAACAATTCTGCCTCAGCCTCCTGAGTAGCTGAGATTAAAGGCATGTGCCACCATGCCTGGCTAATTCTTTATTTTTTAGTAGAGACAAGGTTTCTCCATGTTACTCAGGCTGGTCTCAAACTCCTGATCTCAGGTGATCTTCCCACCTTGGCTTCCCAAAGTGCTGGGATTACAGGTGTGAACCACAGTACCCGGTCAGCATTTGGAATATTTAAGAATACAACATATTCTGGCCATTAGACAAAGTGAGTATTGAAGGCAAAAATCTGCTACAACATTTGGTAACTTACTGCCACCTTTGTTTCTAAAAAGTAGATTACGCTAAAAATTAAATAGGACCTAAAATTCAAATCAAATTGGGTTTTATAATTAGTTGTAAAGTTTTTCATATAAAGACATTTTGCTGAGAACAGCAGAAGAATAAAGGCTCTCTGGCTCATTTTACAAAGTTTGTCTGATTGGATTGAAAATGGCCCAACAGTTTTTACTACTTGAAGTAAATTTTTACACCAACTGCAGTCACCAAAAATAGAAGAAAAAAAATCCATCTACCCTGTGGCTTTACCTCACATGCTTTTACACAAGGACCCTATTATACTTATAAAAACCCTCTAAATTCTGGGAAATTACCCGAAAAGGTATAAACATAGAGATCTTTATTAAGCTATAAACTTTAATTTTCTTAAAAATGCTTTTAAGTTTTGCTATTTCTTTTTCTTTCTTCTTTTTTCTTTTTTTTTTTTTTTTTTTTTTTAAATGATGGAGTCTTCCTTTGTCACCCAGGCTGAAGTGCACTGGCATGATCTTGGCTCACTGCAACCTCTGCCTCCCGGGTTCAAGCAATTCTCCTGCCTCAGCCTCTTGAGTAGCTGGGGTTACAGGTGCATGCCACCACACTCAGCTAATTTTTTTTTTTTTAAGTAGACATGGGTTTCACCATGTTGGCCAGGCTGATCTCCAACTCCTGACCTCAGGTGATCCACCCGCCTTGATGTCCCAAAGAGCTAGGATTACAGGCTTGAGCCACCATGCCCAGCGTAAGTTTTGGTATTTCTATAAATCTTACTGAACTATTTCATGCCATTCTGTCATTTACTGATAAAGTAAGTATTAAAGGCAGATTTGATTACTGTACTTGAAGCACCTAAAATTTAGCCTCACTAGTGGTTATTCCAAATTAGGGCTAAAATAAACAAACAAAAAAAGACCCCTGACAGTGTATGTTTGGAGAGGGCTGAGTATCAACAGTGAACTGCTGCCAGGTATAAGTCACGCACAGGGCAGGGAAGCTGCTGTGGAGCTGAGATGATGGCAAGAGATGGGACCATATGAAGGCAGAGCACGCGGATAACGATGAGCTAGGAGGCGAAAGGGGCTGCCCTGGTGTGGGCCCACCACACACCACTCAGAGGCACCACAATTAGAAAACACACCGACTCCAAGAGGAAGGAAGTGGAGAAACAGGGAAGGTAATGAAAACATCTCACATCTTTACCTGTAGGAGAAGTTCTTGCAGCTGGGCCCGCTTCTGCTTTATCCGTTCTATCCGCCTCTGCTTCTCTATCTTTAAAACGTTGGTTACAAAATAACGTGAACATATGTAGATTATAAAGTATTCACTTTCCAGGTCCCTATTCTGAGATAACAATTTTTCCTAGAGAAACTCGACCCATCTTAACAATATGAATAAAGATAAATCACATCTTTGTAGGAAGCAGGGGTTGGAGTGAACAACCAGGCACAGCATCAGATCTATGGCAACTGTCATCAAAAACGAAACCACACACTTAATGAATACTTGTTAGCAGTACTTGTTGCGATTATTATTCAAGTTCTAATCAAAGTAACAGTACCACTCAGATTAAACTTACATTATTTTAATTCATCTTCACAAAAAACCTTATGAGGTAAGTCCTGCTGTTATCCACTTTGCATAGAAGGAAATGGAGGCTTAGAAGGCTCCATTTCCAAGGTCACACAGCTAGTGAATGGCCAGAGCCAAGATTTGAACCTAAGCCCTCTGGTTACAACAGGGGCTCTATATTAATGACTTTGCTATATTACTCCTCAAAGAATAAGGCAAGATCTTATTTTGGTTTCCGTTTAGCTGACTTTCCAATGAGTACAGCTGATAATAGCTATCTCACACATTCAATATACAATTCCTACTTGTAATAAGAAACATGCTAGGCCAGGCGTTGTGGCTCAGGCCTGTAATCCCCACACTTTGGGAGGCTGAGGAGGGCGAATCACTTAAGATCAGGAGTTTGCAACCAGCCTGGCCAATCCGGTGAAACCCTACCTCTACAAAAATATAAAATTAAGTCAGGTGTGGTGGCATGTATCTGTAGTCCCAGCTACTTGGGAGTCTGAGACGTGAGAAACGCTTGAACCCAGCAGATGGAGGTTGCAGTGAGCCGAGATTGCGCCACTGCACTCCAGCCTGGGTGACAGAGCAAGACTCTGTCTCAAAAAAAAAAAAAAAAAAAAAAAAAGAAACATGCTTGATAGACAAATTTTCCAGCTTCAAACAACTACTTTTTTTTTTTTCCTCTCTCCCTCTCCCTCTCTCTCTCTCTCTCTCTCTCTCTCTCTCTCAATCTGTTAACTACTTAGAGAAAACAGACATTAGGGTCTGAACTTCTTGCAGCTGAGTTCCTCACCACCTCCTTGGGCAAAAGCCAATGACGTCTGTTAGGAAAATTTATGGGAGCCCATTGGTTGGGACTGAGCTCCTGCACTAGGCCCAACAAAATAAACTAAAATAGAGTCACTCATGCTGAAGTTCCATGCCAAAACTAAGTCGTTTATCTGACCTAGGAAATCAGGAGAGAAAGAGAGAATAGCGAACTACCCCAACAGGCCAGTTTTAGCTGGCATGAAAAGAGAGTCTTCTCTGTTTTAACCTTACAAGGAAAGTGACACTGAAATGTCCAATCTGCTTTTTGTTCTGTTTCTGTGTCTATCCACCTTTGCTGCTTCTCTATCTTAAAACACTGACGAACGTTAACCTCTTCTGCTCAACTTATAGGAGCATTCTTTCTACTTACTACTGAGGTGTTACCAGATTCTAGAATCACAAATAAAAGCCAATTAAATAAAATCTTTAAACTAAATTTGTTACCATTTTGTCTTTCAATCATCAAATAAAACATTTTTCTTGTCTGCTCCAGCAGATAATCTCTTTACTTGCTCCCCATCCAATCTAGTCTGTACTAGGAGTTTCCATTCATGGTTCCTCTATCCACTACCATGCTTTACTCCTAAATTACTTAAGATTCACTGGAAAATCTGTGTGGCATTCTGCATTTGAAAAGATGTTGTAGGAGCATCCCTTGCATCAGAAGCTCTGACAAGCCAGGCCCCCTACCCGTCCCTCGTCCAACCAGGTCAAGCTGCACTGATTCCGCCTCTAAAACACCTCTCCAATCTCAGGGCCACTGCTGTAACTCAGACTACCTAAATTTCCCTCCTCCATTCCATTTCCTTCCCCATCTATCTATTAATTTTACTTCCAACCCACTGGCAGAGAGATCAACCCTTCTCTTTGTAATTTATCAACTGCTTCCCACTGTTTACAGGATCAGACCCCACTGCTTAACACTTAGCTGTCTATCCCCTTCTCTCCATGCCTATTCCCTGGCCACACCCAGGTCCAGGTATGCTGTTTCATGCCTGTCTCAGCCCATGCGCAGCACCTTTGCCTGGAAGGCCCTCCCCACCCTTATCCACTTGGCGAACTACTCCCATCTCATGCCTGAGCTCACAGATTATTTCCTTGGTAAAGCCCTCCCTCATCCCTCTTTGCAGAGAATCTGTACATTTCTTTCCAGGAGTAATCACATTTTTTGCTAACTCTTTTACATTTCTCTTCTCCCCAGTTAGAGTGACAGTTTCTTGGTGTCAGAGATTTGCCTTGTATAACCTGCGGTTAAGCACAAGGTAGATGGGAATAGGTTTTTTTGCTTAATGAGTCTTTGGTATCAGCTCGATATTACTGATCATGAAAATGATGCTCAAATTCCACTCTATCACAAGGAAGAAAAACAAGAAAAGAAGGTATTTCCACTCTAGCATATGAAAAATATTCTTTAGCTTCTGATGAATATCTGGTTTCTTTCTCCATCCAGAAGTCTAATACTAAATAACTTATTTGCTGGGGGGAAAAAGACTGAGAAAAACAGGAAATCAATCTTAATTATCTCCCAAAGCTATATAATAATAATTATTATCATTTTAAATGGAGTCTTGCTCTTGTTACCCAGGCTGGAGTGCAATGACACGATCTTGGTTCACTGTAACCTCCGCCTCCCAGGTTCAAGCTATTTTCCTGCCTCAGCCTTCCGAACAGCTGGGATTACAGGTGTACACCACTATGCCCAGCTAATTTTTGTATTTTTAGTAGAGAAGGGGTTTTATCATGTTGGCCAGGCTGGTTCTGAACTCCTGATCTCAGGTGATCCTCCTGCCTTGGCTTCCCAAAGTGCTGGGATTACAAGCGTGAGCCACCGTGCCATATTTAACCTCAGTTTACTCCATTTATGGCCATGATAGCAAAATTATGTAAATTCAATTTAGAAACAGTATGTCAGGGAACATGCTCATTTAGGGAAATTCCTATAATGCTTAAAGTTAACAGAATTTAAAATGCTTCTGCACACATCACTCCAAAATTCTATCCACTCTGGTAAAGACAAAAATGAAACACCATTCATTCTGTTGCTACTAGTTCTAAAGTCAAATATAAAAGTCTGACTTTCACAGCTATAGTCAGAATATTGTGTAACCAATAAAGGAAATAGCCAGCTTGATCCTTTTTTTTTTTTTTTTGATACATACAGCCAGCATCTCATCAAAAAAAGTGTACTAGTAGAGTACTCAGGATTAAATTAGAATGAAATAAAAATCTTCTCTAAGAAACAGAAAAATCAAATTGTTATTTAACTTTTATATCTCTCAGTTTCATCATTTACCAATTAAACTGTAGACTATACCAATAAGGTGCGTTCCAATTCTAAAATTCTGTAGTCTGTTAAAAAATGACATAGTATACATGAACAGTTGGAAATATTTTATATTACATGATTACATTTTTAAATTAAAATGCCTCTGATGTAAAATAATGCAGCTATTCATAAACAGATTTTCTCACTTACCTCCAGATTCTGACATTCCTGAGCAGAATTGGTAGGTAGGCCAATCCACTTGATTTCTTTTTTTTCCTTTGAAATTATGTTCATTGCCATTAGCACATTTAAAGCATCATAAACTCTTCGTCTAATGTTCTTCTGATCATAAGCCTGCTAAAAAGTATTTTATTGAGTGATAAATTTTAAGGGTTAAGTCACATGATATTAATATATCAAATTAATACTACATCTTCAAAGTGCTGGAATAATTCTATTTTTTATTTAGCTAATTGATGAAGACATCCAAAATAATTTTATATTCTGTGAAAATATCCTTCAAAGTTAAACATGAAATAAAAATACTTTTAAACAATATAAAACAAAATAATCTTAAAAATAAAGATCATGTTACCCACAGATCTACACTGAAATATACTTAAGGGATTACTTCAGGTAAAGAAATATCATCTAAGATGGGAGCTTAGGGATGTAGTACAGAATGAAGACCAACCCAAAAGTTACGTAGGTGGGTAAATCTCAGTTCTCACTGTATAAAACAATAATCACGTCCTATGGAGTCTAGAATAAATACAGAACTTAATATACATGACTACAAATAGGATATATATTAACTGAAAAAGGTATTGGAGGTAAAGTATTCTAAGGCCTTGCATTGTCTGAGAGGATTTTAGACTTAAAAAAATCAAGGACATTTATTCAAGTTCTGGACAAAACTGTGCTTCTCAAAATGTGTTCCTTGACCACTGCTGATCTGCAAACTGTTTCCAATCTACAACGAGACTCGGAACTTGCACCAAAATATAATCCTCTAAATCACAAGGGACACTGTTCAGTTCAGCTGACCTTTTCTTTCTCTTTTTCTTCTTTTCTTGATAGCAAGACTTACTCAATGAAGGAAACTGTTGGTTTACATTGTAGAACAAAGTCCTCATGAAGTGCAATGATAACAAAGGATGGTGGAGAACAATGAATCCACGAAAATATAAAACTAGATCTAAATAAGTAGGAGATTTAAGTTATAGAACTGAATGTACTAGACATTTTGACACTGGGCTGCGAGCAGTGGCTTATGATTGTAATCCCAGCACTTTGGGAGGCTGAGGTGAGCAGATCATCTGAGGTCATGAGTTAAAGACCAGCCTCACCAACATGGCGAAATCCTGTCTCTATCAAAAAATACAAAACCTAGCTTGGCATGGTGGCATGCGCCTGTAATCCCAGCTATTAGAGAGGCTGAGGAAGGAGAATTGCTTGAATCCAGGAGGTGAAATTGCAGTGAGCTGAGACTGCACCACTGCACTCCAGCCTGGGTGACAGAGTAAGACTCCATCTTAAAAAAAAAAAAGGCGGGGGGGGGGAAATCTTGACATTGTAGAAAAAAATGATACTATAAGAAGTACCAGGAGGAGAAAATGCAGTAGGTATGCCAATTTCTTCTTTTTGATATTGGAAGGGATACGGAGGTTGTTCAAAGCAGATTAAAATAATAATAAAAGGTTCAGCACGATCTATTGATTTAAAGTAATAAAAACAATTTTAATAGTATTATTATTATTTTTCCGAGACAGAGAGTCTTGCTCTGTCACCAGGCTGGAGTGCAGTGGCACTATCTAGGCTCACTGCAAACTCTGCCTCCTAGGTTCCAGTGATTCTCCTGCCTCAGCCTCCCAAGTAGCTGGGATTACAGATGCGTACCACCAAACCTGGCTAATTTTTGTCTTTTTAGTAGAGACAGGGTTTCATCATGTTGGCCAGGCTGATCTCAAACTCTTGACCTTGTGATCCACCTGCCTCGGCTTCCCAAAGTGCTGGGATTATAGGCGTGAACCACCGTGCCTGGACTATAATAGTATTATTTTTCCTTTAACAAATATACTAATATATCTCATCTAAATCATATGGTAGAAGAGAAAAATGGAAGACAAAAATAAATATACATTTTTCTTCATAACCAATAGATACTGTCTACAGGTGACAACTCAAGGAACTTAAGTTATAAAGGTAACTAGAGACTACAAGCATCCTAAATTATCAGAAAAATCACAAAGCAGTGAACAAAGAGGGGAAAAACTCAACCTTTGTTTGTATCTTGGGAAGATGGTGGTGGTCGGGTATTAGTAAAAATGTATTTTAGATGTTGAAAAGTACTAAGAAGAGCCAGGCGTGGTGGCTCAAGCCTGTAATCCCAGCACTTTGGGAGGCCGAGGCGGGTGGATCATGAGGTCAAGAGATCGAGACCATCCTGGTCAACATGGTGAAACCCCGTCTCTACTAAAAATACAAAACATTAGCTGGGCATGGTGGCGCGTGCCTGTAATCCCAGCTACTCAGGAGGCTGAGGCAGGAGAATTGCCTGAACCCAGGAGGCAGAGATTGCAGTGAGCCGAGATCGCACCATCGCACTCCAGCCTGGGTAACAAGAGTGAAACTCCATCTCAAAAACAAAAAACAAACAAACAAAAAAAGAAAAGTACTAAGAAGAAATGCTTCATTGTGGTGACAGGTGAGTGGAGATCACAAGGCAGGGAGAGAGAAGCCATATGGACACAGAGTGCTCTAGGCATGGGAAACAGCAAGTACAGTGGCCTGATCAGGAACAAAACATGTAGCTGGAGCATCGTGACATGTGGCTGGAGGGTAGTAAATGAGAAAGTACACAGCACAGGACAAGATCAATGAGGTAATGGTGGGCAAGATCACAAAGGGGCTTGTAGCTCATTGTGAGAACCATGGCTTTCATTCAGAAATAGAATGCTATATACTTTTCAAGTGGCTAGAGAACATCAAAAGAAAAGAAAATCACTGTATCATGGCTCTCAAGGAAAACATATAATCCATAAAAAAGGGAAATAGTTCAAATCATATTATCTGGTCAAAGTAAGTAATAAAAGTAAAACTTTAAAGCAACAAATAAGCAAAAAAAAAAAAAAGAAAAGAAAAGAAAAAACCACTTGTAACTATAAGAATTCTAAGGCAGTTCTTAGATCAAAGAACAAATTCAATCCAAAACTACAGAATATTTAAAGAATGATATATCAGAATCAATGGCATAGGGCTAAAGCAGTGATCGAGTAAAAGTCATAGACACAGACAGACACACACACACACACACACACACACTCTCTCTCTCTCTCTCTCTTTTTAAAGAGATTAAGTCTTGCTTTGTCACCCAGGCTGGAATGCAGTGGCATGATTGAATTCCTGGGCTCAAACAATCCTCCTCAGCCTCTGGAGTAACTGAGACTACAGGTTTGTGCCACCACGTCTGGCTAATTAAAAAAAATTTTTTTTTGTAGAGGTTGGGTATGGTGGCTCATGCCTGTAATGCCAGCACTTTGGGAGGCTGAGGCTGGAGGATCATTTTTTGTTCAGGAGTTCAAAATCAGCCTGTGGCAACATAGTGAGAACCCTATCTCAAAAAATAAATAGATAGACAGATAGATAGATAAATAAATAAATTTTCTTTCTGTAGAGGCAGAGCCTTGCCATTTTTGTTCGCAGTTACTCAGGAGGCTGAGGCACAAGAATCACTCAAACCTGGGAGGCAGTATTCAGTGAGCCAAAACTGCACCACTGTACTCCATTTATTTGAAACTCTGCCAGACAACTGAATTTTTATCTTTTTTTTCTTTTTTAAAGACGAGGTTTCACCATGTTGGTCAGGCTGCTCTTGAACTCCCAACCGCAGGTGATCCACCCGCCTTGGCCTCCAAAGTGCTTAGATTACAGGCGTGAGCCACACCTGGCCGCAACTGAATTTTTAATAAACATATTTCTGTATTCCTTTTCCAATTAAAAATAAAATTTTCTTGTTGACTTACACATTGAAGAAACAATAAGATTCAGAAACATATAAAAAATTACTGGTGGCCGGGCGCAGTGGCTCATGCCTATAATCCCAGCACTCTGGGAGGCTGAGGCGGGTGGATCACTTGAGGTCAGGAGGTCATGACCAGCCTGGCCAACATGGTGAAATCCTGTCTCTACTAAAAATACCAAAATTAGCTGGGCGTGGTGGCATGTGCCTGTAATTCAAGCTACTCAGGAGGCTGAGGCAGCAGAATCATTTAAATCCAGGAGGTGAAGTTGCAGTGAGCCGAGATCGTGCCACTGCACTCTAGCCTGGGCAACAGAGCAAGACTCCACCTAAAAACAAAAAAGAATTCCCTCCAAAATAAAACTCAACAACAACAACAAAATCCCCCCAAATAGAGGATGAAACTCTTAAGTATAGTCGTTCACCTAGCTTATCTGATTCCCCAAATCTATTACACAGGTAACACAAAGAAGTAGCATCAACCATCAAAATCCATGGCAGGTTAATGGGTCTACCTACCGAATCAGCTGCCAAATGGTTATTTGAATTGGTGAACTCTGACACCAGCTCATCAGCGACTTCATTGTATGATGTTGTACCTTTTCGTTGAACTTTCTCACACACTTTCATTGAAAAGTGTCTCAAGCCTTTCCCATTTTTATCTCCTTTTTTGCTCCGTTTACTAAAAGAGAAAAAATATATATATATATTTGACTCCATTATACATATTAGAGACTTCCTTTACAAATCTCTGTAAGATAATGCAAGATGACAGTAATTTAAGTTTTGCTTCACGTGGCAAAAATTTAATAAGAGATGAGAAAATGTTTATTTAAACTTACTTTTTGCCTTAAGGGCCTAATAAAATATGAAGGTAGAGTGCTTTTCTATGCACATCATTTATTTATTCAACAAATATTTACTGAACAGTATCTGTGCCAGATACTGTTATTGACACTGAGAATAAGTCAGTGAAAAAACACAAAAACTCTGCCCTTGTACAGCTAACATACTTATCTTTTTGTATTCTATGTAGACATGTTTTTTTACTGAAATTAAAACTACAGTCATTTGCTGCATATACAACAGTGGTCCCCTAAGATTACAACGGAGCTGAAAAATTCTCATTGCCTAGTGATGTAGCAGACATTGCAATGCTATAGCATACTGCATTACCCTGATGCTGGCAAACAAAGCTACTGCACTTCCAGTGCTATAAAAGTCTAGCATGTACAATCATGGACAGTACATAATACTTGATAATACATGACTATGTTACTGCTTACCATATACACTAAACTATACTTTTCATCATTATTTTAGAGTGTACTTCTTCAAATTATAAACTAAACTGTAAAAAGCCCCAGGCAATCGTTCAGGAGGTATCCAGAAGAAGGCATTGTTATCACAGGAGACAACAGCTCCATGCATGTTACTGCCCCTGAAGACCTTCCAATGGGACAAGATTTAAAGGTGGAAGACAGTGATGTTGATGATCTTGACCCTCTGGGGCCCTAGGATGGTATGTACTTCTGTCTCAGTTTTCTTTCTTTCTTTCTCTTTTTTTTGGAGACAAGAGTCTTGCTCTATCTCCTAGGCTGGAGTGCAGTGGTGCAATCTTGGCTCACTGCAACCTCTGCCTCCTGGGTTCAAGCGACTCTCCTGCCTCAGCCTCCTAAGTAACTGGGATAACAGGTGTGCGCCACCATGCCTGGCTAATTTTTGTCTTTTTGGTAGAGAGGGGGTTTTGCCATGTTGGCCAGGCTGTTCTCGAACTCCTGACCTCAGGTGATCCATCCACCTTGGCCTTCCAGCTGGGATTACAGGTGTGAGTCACTTCGCTTGACTCTGTGTCTCAGTTTTCTGTTTTTGTTTTTGTTTTTTTGATTCAGGGTCTCACTCTGTTGCCCATGTTGGAGTGCAGTGGTGCCATGATGGCTCACTGCAGCCTAAACCTCATATGCTCAAGTGATCCTTCCACCTCAGCCTTCCAAGTAGTTAGAATTACAGGTGCATGTCACCACACTTGGCTAATTTATTTTCTTTTTTGTAGAGACAAGGTCTCGTTATGTTCCCCAGGCTGCTCTTGAACTCCTGAGCTCAAGTGATCCCTCCCACCTCAGCCTCCCAAAGTGTTGGGTTACAAGTGTGAGCCACCCTGCCCAGCCACATCTGTTTAACGAACAAGTTTCAAAAGTATTTTAAAAAGTTAAAAACAAACAGAAAAAAGCTTATGGAAGAAGGATATAAAGAAATTATTTTCATACAGCTGTACAGTTTGTAATGATCAACCAGGGTAACTGGGGTATCCATCATCTCAAGCCTTTATTGTTTCTTTGTATTAGGAACATTCCAATTCCATTCCTCTAGTTACTGAAAATATACAATCAATTGGTTGTTAACTACAGCAACCTATTGTATTACAAAATCCTAGGAATTATTCATTCTAAGTGCATTTTTGGAGCCATTAATATGTGTGTGGGTTTCTGTTTGTTTCTGAGAAAGTGTCTTGCTTGATCCCCTAGGCGGGAGTGCAGTGATGCAATCTCAGCTCACTGCAACCTTCGCCTCCCGGGTTCAAGTGATTCTCCTGCCTCAGCCTTCTGAGCAGCTGGGATTACAGGTGCCCACCACTATGACTGGCTAATTTTTATAGTTTTATTAGAGACGAGGTTTTACCATGTTGGTCAGGAGGGACTTGAATTCCTGGCCTCAAGTGATCCATCCACCTTGGCCTCCCAAAGTGCTGGGGTTACAGGTATGAGCCACTGCTCCTGCCCAATATGTTTGTGTTTGCGTGGTTTTTTTTTTTTTTTTTTTTTTTTTTGAGATGATGGAGTCCTGCTCTGTCACCCAGGCTGGAGTGCAGTGCCACAATCTAGGCTCACTGCAACCTCTGCCTCCCAGGTTAAAGCGATTCTCCTGCCTCAGCCTCCCAAGTAGCTGGGACTACAGGTGCCCGCCACCACACCTGGCTAATTTTTGTATTTTTAAAGAGACGGAGTTTTACCACATTGGCCAATCTGGTCTCGAACTCCTGACCTCGTGATCCACCCACTTGGCCTCCCAAAGTGCTGGGATTACAGATGTGAGCCACCGTACCTAGCTATGTTTAACTGTTACTGTAAGAGTTAAATGGATTGAGAACATTAAAAAGTTTATAAAGTAAAAAAAGTTATAGTAAGCTAAGGTTAACTTATTATTGAAGAAAAATATTTGAAAAGTAAATTACTGTAGCCTAAGTATACAGTGATTATAAAGTCTACAGTAGTGTGCAGTAATGTCCTAGGCCTTCATATTCACTCACCACTCACTGACTGACCCAGAGCTACTTCCAGTCCTGCAAGCTCCCTTCATGAAAAGTGCCCTATAAAGGCGTATCATTTAAAAAATATATTTTACAAAGTATTTTTACTCATACCTTTTCTATGTTTAGGTATGTTTAGATGCACAAATACTTATTACTGTGTTACAATTACCTATAGTGTTCAGTATAGCAACATACTATGCAGGTTTGTAGCCTAGGAGCAATAAGCTATATCAAGTACCTAGGTGTGTAGTAGGCCACACCATTCTGGGTTTGGGTAAGTACACTTGATGATGTTCATGTAACGATGAAATCACCTAATGAAGCATTTCTCAGAACATATCCCCTCAGTAAGTGATGTGGGACTGTGAATATATTTATTGATAAATAATTTACATGTTCTATGTTATGTACATAGAAAGATGCTAAACATGCAGTTTCAAAAGGAATATGAGGAAAAAACAGATATCTATTTTCTTTTCCGTATATTCCCAAAGAATCGTGTGTGCATTCCTTGTGACAGAATAGGTATCTTACCTCACAGACTATTTATTTCAAATCTTATGGAATAACTAAAATATATTGAATGCTATTAAGTGGGGGAGTAGAATGGCGAGATTTTCAGTTAGGCAGACATTCTCACTGCAAATCAGAAGATTTCGGAATCAGAATTAAACAGTAGAAGTGGAATTTATGAGGCAAAATAAGAGACAGAGACCATTTTGAGAGGCGAGTGTAATAGTCCAGGTGACAGAAGAAGAATCCCTAAACTGGGGCAGTGGTAGGGCAGGAGACAAAAAGATGGATTTACACAATTTTAAAAGATAAAAACCAATAAAACTGATGTGGAAAGTAAGGAAGAGAGGAATATAGAATAACCCCTAGAAAGAAGTGTCATTTACTGAGATCAAAGAGATGAATTAAGTTTATGAGTTGCATTTTAAACCTCCTAATCAGCACTGTCCAATACCCCTAGGCACAACTCACATGTGGCTACTAATTACTTGATATGTGGGAAGTGTGAATTGACGTATGTTTAAGTTAAACAAACTGGATTTTAAATACTTAACATGAGGAATGAATGTAAAATACCTCACTAGTGATTTTTATATTTAATTACACATTGAAATACAATGTTTTGGATATACTGAATTAAATTAAAAATATTAGGCTGGGTGTGGTGGCTCATACCCGTAATCCCAGCACATTGGGAGGCTGAGGCAGGCAGATCATTTGAGGGCAGGAGTTTGAGATCAGCCTGGCCAACATAGCGAAACCCTGTTTCTACTAAATATTACACTACACTACACCTCACACTACACCTACACCTCACACCATGGGTGTAGTGACATGTGCCTGTAATCCCAGCTAATCAGGAGGCTGAGGCAGGAGAATTACTTGAACCCAGGAGGTGGAGGTTGCGGCGAACCAAGATCACGCCATTGCACTCCAGCTTGAGCAACAAGAGTGAAACTTGGTCTTAAAAAAATAATAAAAATATTAAAATTAACTTCAAATATTTATTTTCTTTCAAAATTTTTATTGAACAGCAATGATGTTGTGTATGGGCTTATATATATAGCCAGGCAAAGAACTGGTTAATGGCATAAAGTAAATAATTTCTCTACTTAGTGGTTACATACTTTCTTCTTTTTAAGACAACACAAATACAGTAGTGAGAAGGGGGTCAAGTATAGAACAGTGAGTTCAATCTGTGTTCAAATGACTGTGAACAATCAATTGAGATAACTCACTACCTTTGGGCCAGCCAGTTATATACTTTTGAAAAGCCAGGAGTGAAGTCGGGTTGTTTTTCATCCAATTCTTGGTCTTTCTGTTAAAGGGAGTGATAAGATAGGGTGGTTTCAGGCAATCACTTGGCTAACTGGCTCTCTGTAGTCATGTCTGGATAATATTTAAAAGAAGAAACTAAATGTAGTCCTTAAGTAGGAACAACTATAATTTTAACAACTATTATTAAATGCTGATAGCTAATGTAGATACAAGCCTACATCTAAGAATTTTATAAAATCAGTTCAGTGCGTAAATTGATAATAAACTTGAAGAAAACGTGGTTAAATATCAACATCAGTAAACTATCAGATACATATTTTGAACAACTTACTCTATTAAACTCTGATCCACAGTCATTTATCTAAAAAATGCAGAATACCCATCTCACAAGTTGTGAGGATGAAATGCATATAACATATGGTACACTACAAGTGATTTTATCCCCTTCATAAGCTGCCAGAATTTTCTCAAGCAATAGAAAAACAAAGGGCACTACTCAACAATGGCTGAATCAAGAAATTAAGCTTATTATTTGGAAGGTTAATAGAATGTCATGCCAAAACTCAATCAATATACACATTAAAATTCAACAAGGAAGGTTAGAAGACTCAACACCTACCATGCACAGATGAGGGTTTTGGTCCTGCAATCAATCCAGTAAACCACTTTGAAAGTTAGGCAAAAAATGACTCTAGTTAAAGAACACTAAAAGGCAAAAGGCTATATAAAGAACTACAACACTGAAAAACCAAAAAACCCAATTCAAAAATGGGCAAAGGGCTGGGTGCAGTGGCTCATGCCTGTAATCGCAACACTTTGGGAGGCCAAGGCAGGTGAATCACTTGAGGTCAGGAATTCAAGACCAGCCTGGCCAACACAGTGAAACCCCATCTCCACAAAAAATATAAAAATTAGCCGGGAGTAGTGGCACATGTCTGTAATCCCAGTTACTTGGGAGGCTGATGCAGGAGAATCACTTGGATCCAGGAGGCAGAGGTTACACTCCGCGTCACTGCACTCCAGCCTGGGAGTGAGACTCCATCTCAAGAAGAAAAAAAAAGTTGAAAGACGTAATAGTCATTTATCCAAAAAGATATACAAATGGCCAAAAAGTACATGAAAAGATGCTCAACATCACTCATCACTGGAGAAATGTAAATCAAAACCATAATGAGATGCTACTTCACACCCATTAGAATGGCCATTATTAAACAAAAACTGAAAACGAGAAGTGTTGGAGAGGTAGAGAAGCTGCACCCAGTGTGCACTGCTGGTGGAAATATAAAATGGTACAGCCACTGTGGAAACAATACAGCAATTTCTCAAAAAAGTAAACATAGTATTACCATATGACTCAGTAATTCTACTTCTGGGTATATACCCAGATGAATTTGACAGCAGGAACTCAAACAGGTATTTGTACACCCATGTTCATAGCACCATTAATAGTTAAAATGTGGAAGCAACCCAAATGCCCACCAATGGATAAACAGATAAAATGTGGTATATACATGCAATGAAAGATATTCAGCTTTAAAAAGGAATAAAATTCTGATACATGCTATACTACAGATGAACCTCGAAGACGTAAGTAACATAAGCCAGATGTAAAAAGATAAATATTGGGCTGGGAACAGTGGGTCACGCCTGTAATCCTAGCACTTTGGGAGGCTAAGATGGGCGGATCACCTGAGGTCAAGAGTTTGAGACCAGGCTGGCCAACATGGTGAAACCCCATCTCTATAATAAATAAATAAATAAATAAATGTTGTATGATTCCACTTACATGAAATCAAATTGGAATAAAATTCATAGAAAACAGAACAGAGGGACTGTGGGGGAGTGGGAAACGGAGCTTTGCTGCTTCATGCGGAAAGAGTTTCAATACGGATGGTAAAAAAGTTCTGGAGATGGATAGTGGTGATAGTTGCCCAACAACTTATTATTTCTCCGTGGTTCTTTTGGTTTTGAACTGGCTTATGTTTTGTTGTCTTTTATGCTTAAGTTTTGATGGTTTCATGGCTTCATAAGCCAGTGTATTTCTGCAAATAAGATGCTGTAGTTTATGTATTTCATCATCAATTATGGCTACAAAACCAAATTCAACATGTGAGTGGGTCAAGTTTCTGAGCAAAACTAATACAAACTATTGTATTCGTTTTCTTGTTTTTACATTGCTCCTCGTGGAGCTGGACTATCCCATAGGTAATGTGCCCAGAGTAGCCTGTTCTTCATTCTTTAAATTACTTCCATTGTCACATCTGGTTAACTACTACTGCTGCTACCTTCAGCAAAGGTATGCCTTTTCTGGAAAAAAATAGTTCAGGATGCTTATTTCATCATTAGAAATGAGGATTGCTGAGCGTGGTGGCTCAAGCCTGTAATCCCAGCACTTTGGGAGGCCGAGGTGGGTGGATCACGAGGTCAAGAGATCGAGACCATCCTGGTCAACGTGGTGAAACCCCGTCTCTACTAAAAACACAAAAAATTAGCTGGGCATGGTGGCGCGTGCCTGTAATCCCAGCTACTCAGGAGGCTGAGGCAGGAGAATTGCCTGAACCCAGGAGGCGGAGGTTGCGGTGAGCCGAGATTGTGCCATTGCACTCCAGCCTGGGCAACAAGAGCGAAACTCCGTCTCAAAAAAAAAAAAAAAAAAGAAATGAGGATTAAAATAAAAGTTTACTTTTCTAATTTAGCTAATAATTTTAAAGAATAAACACAGGCTTGTTTGAAAAATTAAAATAATTGTAGAAATGCTATGAAAATAAATGTCTATTTTGGCCAAGCACAGTGGCTCACGCCTGTAATCCTAGGACTTTGGGAGGCCAAGGAAGGCAGATAGCTTCAGCCCATGAGTTCAAGACCAGCCTGGGCAACATAATGAGCCCTCATCTCTACAAAAAATGTAAAACCTAGCCAGGGGTAGTGGTGTGTGCCCGCTACTCAGGAGGCTAAGGTAGGAGGATTGCTTGTGCCCAGGAGGTCAAGGCTGTAGTGAGCCGTGACTGTGCCACTGCACTCCAGCCTGGGTGACAGAGCAAGATGGAGTCTCCCATCGCATAGGCAGGAGTGCAGTGGCTCGATCTCGGCTCACTGCAACCTCTACCTGCTAGGTTCAAGCGATTCTCCTTCCTCAGCTTCCCAAGCAGTTGGGATTACAGGCGTGTGCCACCATGCCTGGCTAATTTTTTATTTTCGGTAGAGCCGGGGTTTCACCATGTTGGCTAGGCTGGTCTCAAACTCCTGACCTCAAGTGATCCACCCGCCTCAGCCTCCCAAAGTGCTAGGGTTACAGGTGTGAGCCACAGCACCTGGACAGAAACTCCTATATTTTCTAAGTTGCTATCTCTAATTTGCTGTGCCCTGAGAAACTAGATGGCCAAATGTGTAAGAATTCAGTCTAAGATGAAAGTGAACAGGCTCTGAGTGAGAATCTTCGGACTACGTATAAAGGATGTGTGTTTTCTTGTCCTGACACTAGTGCAGTTTCAGTTCTTTGATGGCTTTTGTTGCTTGCTTCTTGGTCTTAACTGTTTTCAACAGATACAATCATGTCTGAGGAGCTGCTGTATCATAGAAATACATGGTGAAATGTTCTTTTCTCTTTAATGAAAAGTCCTCTTTCCAACTCAAACTGGTCTTTACTGGTGTTTATCCTTGGAAAGGGTAACAGTACAAGTTCTTGCAGATGTATTTAGCAATGTTTAAGGCTTTAAAATGGAGCTATTTATCAGTTAAAATTGGTGGCACCTCTGCACTGCAAACGGTACAAAAAACAAGACTCTAGCCGAGATGGTGCCACTGCACGCTAGCCTGGGTGACAAAGCGAGACCTTGTCTCAAGAAAAAGGAAAGAAAAGAAAAGAAAAGCTTGTTAAAGTTTGGGCCTATTAGGGTAATGTGGAGTATTCACTTGACAGAACTCTTCATTTCCCAGAAGGAAAGAGGGGAAGGACTAAAGGATATACTACCAACAGCCAATCTGCTCACAGAGTAATTTCTCCTGAAATCATACAGATAACTATGAATGAACTGGGCCACTCAATGCAGAATCAAATAATGGGAAAAACTGAAGTTTAAGTTACATGAAGAAAAACATCGCGTAAAACCAGAGTAGTCGCAACACCAAAACCTCTCTATACAGCAAAATCTTTCAAATAAAATACTTAAGACTTATACTCACCTTTCTGAAAAATCAGAATCTATAAATTCTCTAGCCCGTTTTCTATCACTAAAAAGGAAAAAAGATAGCATAAAAACAACACATACTTAGACACAATTTAATTTCGTTAATACTTTATTATAACGTGTCTAATACTACACTGAATATATTCAAAGACTAACACACATAAAAGATAGGTATATGAAATAAATCTTAATTTTATCATGTGAACAAGACATCACAACATAATAATCATGAGCTGAAATCAGCTCAATGAACAGTTAGGGAGGAAAACACTGCAAATTTGCAAGCAAGACAGAGAAAAATTACATTCACTCCGCAAAATACTGACCATAAAACACCAGACAATCCTGCCACCACCAATATAAAGCACAAATGGGGCTGAAAACATCCAGACCCTGTCCATTTCCAAAGTGGGGCAACACTGCTGGCACAGGCTTGGCTTTCACGTCATAATCTTTCAAGGCCATACAGAAATCCAAGGTAACCTTAGATCTACGTAAGAATGTTCGTAAGGATTGAATAATGCCCACGGGATTACAGGTAATTCTGTCACTTCAGCTCATTTGATAATGGAAAAGTATGTATACACAAAACTGTTCTGTCTTTAATACTTACGTGCTTGTACATATGTGTGCATATATTTATGTATATTGATATGTATACAACTTAAAGCACCTTGTCAGGATTGTTATTAGTTTCACTTAATATACTTGAAGCAAGGAGATTCTTACTGAACTAAGATTTACCATCTGCTTGCTCAAACTCACATATGATAGAATCACCAATGCAGTATTCCACCATGTAAATAACTCCTTTTTTTTTTTTTTTGAGACAGAGTTTTGCTCTTGTTACCCAGGCTGGAGTGCAATGGCACAATCTCAGCTCACCGCAACCTCCGCCTCCTGGGTTCAAGCAATTCTCCTGCCTCAGCTTCCCGAGTAGCTGGGACTACAGGCGTGCGCCACCATGCCCAGCTAATTTTTGTATTTTTGGTAGAGACGGGTTTTCACCATGTTGACCACGATGGTCTCGATCTCTTGACCTCATGATCCACCCGCCTTGGCCTCCCAAAGTGCTGGGATTACAGGCGTGAGCCACCGCGCCCAGCCTGTAAATAACTTCTAAAGTAACAAAATGTCTAAAGTGACAAAATGAGGTTTTGAGTCACTGATCTTATTTTTCTTTTATGGAAGTATGAGGTGCTAAAATGATAAAGAGTGGAGAAAGGCATAAGTATTTTACAGGCAAAGATGAAACATATTTAAGTTTGTACCAAAAGTGGCAAATGAGTAACATGGAAGGGATATTGATTCAATTGTTCAGTGTTTAAAAAGAATCAAGAGGAAATTTATTAAAAATTTTATTTGGCCTCTTTTCCTAGCCTTTTCTGGTTTTTTAAGGAAATAAGAATTCATAGGGGAAACTCTGAGTATAGCCAACACTTAATATTTAACTCCTTTTTTATGTGAGTTAAAAAAATATAAAATATAGTTTTTATAATCTCTAAATGTTATAATAATAAAAGTAGTCCTATTTCAGAGTTTAAAAAGTCACAGGGTTTAGTTACAAGTTATTGTACTGTATTTCTGTTTAAAAATAGTTGTTCCACAGATGATTTATATCTAAGATATAAAGTGAAATAAAATAGGTGATTTTGAAGGAAAAACATTTGTTTTTAAGAACTAGACTAAAATGAAACAAGAACAGAAGACAAGATAGTGAGGAAAAAAAAAAGTCTAAACTTTTTTTTTTTTTTTAAACGGTTTAAAAAATAGTAACTTGCAACACTCTTACCCAGGGACCCAGCCAGTAGCTTCTGCTATGTGTGTCTGAGTAACCATTGCTGGTGCAGGGGTATATGGACTCCCAATCAGAACACTTCCTGAACTGGTTAGTCTCTGTGGTGTGCTTATAATCTGTAAAGTTAGGAACAAAGAATATAATATTCTTAATTATTAAGAAAAGCCTACAGGCAGAAAATAACGTTGATTGCTAACCTACATATGAGGAAACCTTGCTGCCTAAAAGGCACTTAACGTCAGTCATCTAAAAATATAAGCAACACCTCTGACGAACTTATATCCTAGGCTCTTAAAGCACAAGTATCCTGAATACTGACATGAGGTCATAATACAGATTTCAGCAAATGAGTGGCAATTTGGAAGGATTAAGTAAAGAACTGACAATGCTTTCAAAATCAAAAAAATGAAAAGTTTTCTTTGAAACTGAGGAAAGAAATTGCAGTACAGCTTGATTTACTAGAACCAGGGAAACAGCAAATCAGACTTCCACAGTCCATCATACAGTATACACAAAGATACTATCCAGCTTGGATTATTATATAGATGCAATTATCCGTTTTTAAGAGTATTGGGCTGGGTGCAGTGGCTCTTGCCTATAATCCCAGCACTTTGGGAGGACCAGGTGGGTGGATCATCTGAGGTCAGGAGTTCAACCAGCCTGGCCAACATGGTGAAACCCTGTCTCTACTAAAAATACAAAATCAGCTGGGCGTGGTGGCGCATGCCTGTAATCCCAGCTACACAGGAGGCTGAGGCAGGAGAATTGCTTGAACCCGGGAGGCAGAGGTTACAGTGAGCTGAGATCACGCCATTGCACTCCAGCCTGGGCAAATAGAGCAAAACTCTGTCTCAAAAAAAACAAACAAAAAGAGTATTTCATGTTATTAAATACTCTTTAAAATACGATCATGAAACATTCTACCATGTGGATTATTCCCTACTAGATATACATGGATTTTTAATTATTTACTATTATAAAGAATGCTGTGATAAACATTTTTGTACAAAGACCTTGCCCTTAATTTCTATTTCCTAAGGCTAAACTCCAGAAAGGAGATTAATGGAATCCCTAAAGACTTTTTTAAAAGGTACCTTATATGTGTTACCAAATTGCTTTCCAGGTCTTAAAATTTTCACTGGTTTAAAAAACAAAACAAAACATGTGTTTTCCAAACACATTTATAGTAATTAACATTAAAAAAAAACTAGCAGCCTAGTAATAACTTCAGACGTATTTTCATGTTAAAAAAAAAAAACAAAAAAAAAAAACAGAAAGAGGCATGGTCCAGTGAATGGGGATATTAATGAAAAATGATTGGCTCCTATGTGGATAATTGTTGAAGCAACTGCTGGGTATACAGTTCTATTTTTGAAAAGTTTTGAAAGTGTTCATGATAGTAAGTTTTAAGTCCCAATTAAGAGAGAAAAATATCTACAGGAACTACATATAATTGTTAATAAGTCCTCAAATAAGAGAAATAGTTCTATTTCCCTAGTGCCTTATGCAAGACAAAATGCTAATTAATTTTTATCTCCCTGACCAAATGAAACCTGTTTCTGCCGCCAGGGTGAATCATTAAGTTCATTGCTAACTTGCTCCATACATAACCAAAGGGAAGGATTCATAAGCATTTCAAGCCCTCCATTTGCATTTGAAGGGAAGAGTCAAACAATAACCTCTGTAGTATAAAAATAGTTCAGACCTAGTTATTAAAATCTAGTCAATATTTATTCATTTATCAAGTATTTAACAACCTTAGTTAGCTTCTGTTTATGTTTTGACATTATGTTAGTTTGGGGTAGAAAGATGTTAGTACCTACAAATATTTATGAAATAGTTTTAATAAGTTCATTCTATAGTTTAAAAAAATAAAAACAAACGATACTAATTCTGACAGATGTCTGGAGAGTTCTGATTATGTACAATACACCAAGGGTATTAAATAAGGCACTCAGAAGTTTTCCTAGTGAGAAAACATAAAGTCAGACAATGTGTCTGTACCTCTTATCAAATTCTGCCTTGCATTCCAAGTATGCTTGCACGTCCCACTCCACATGTCTGGTCCCACATCCCCACTTTCATTTCAGTGCAGGATCTTTAAGGGTGAAGAGTACCTTGTTAAACTAAGTTCTTTGCAGGGTTTAACACAGTGGCAGGAAGCTCACAGGAAAGGCACAATAAATATTTACTGTCGGGATAAAATACTCAACTTTTAAAATAATAGGGGAAAAAAGGACCTTCATTTACTGATATGCTAAAAGGATTATATAAACTCCACTTAAAAAAAACAGAAAGCATAGTTTCCACCAATCACTACATCACATTCCCTATCATGCTGACCTTGAGTATAGACAGCTTATGAAGAAAAATGTGAGTTATCTGATTAGCCTCCAGTTGACTCTATTCCTTGAACCGGAGTGTCTACAAAGCTATTCTAAGCATTCCAATTTACCTTTAAACAGATTGTATTACTCCTGCAGTATTATTACTGAGGAGATCTTTTTCTATATGGTATTAGCAGCCTACATGCTTGGTTTTGCTGATTTATGGGGCTTTGTACAAAAAAAAAAAAAGAAAGAAGCTGGGCACAGTGGCTCACACCTGTAATCCTAGCACTTTGGAAGGCAGAGACAGGTGGATCATTTGAGGTCAGGAGTTCAAGACCAGCCTGGCCAACCTGGTGAAACCCTGTCTCTACTAAAAATACAAAAATTAGTGGGGTGTAGGGGTATGTGCCTATAATCCCAGCTACCCTGGAGGCTGAGGCAGGAGAATCACTTGAACCCAGGAGACAGAGGAGGAGGTTTTAGTAAGCCGTTATCATGCCACTGCACTCCAGCCTGGGCAACAGAGGGAGACTCTACCTCAAAAAAAAAAAAAAAAAAAAAAGAAAGAAAAAAAGAAAGGAGGAAGGAAAACAGGACATAGAGAAAAACTGTCTATCTTTATGAAAATGACTTTGAAAGTAAATTCTAGTTTACATTTTCTTCTTTTCCCTTTCTTACTGTCAGATTGTTAGCTGATATTCTTTGCTGATTGGAGAGTGATTAGCAACACTCTGCTCCCTTCTCTTAGCACAGGGCCTGGTACACAGCAATTCCTTAATAAACATTCCCTGCATGAACAAATTGAAGAGATGACACACTTGAATTGGAAAGATAAAGTCAAAAAGCTTATGAGATGCTATAAGTTCCTAAACGAGGATAATGAGAGTAAAACGTAAGAAATAAAACAAAAGGAAAGCCAGTAAAACTTGAACAGCCACAGAATACAAGAAAATTGGTTTATAGGGTGATGAGCTAGTCTTGCTTTCTAACCCTGAACCTAATGCTGAAATCCCAGGCCAGGTGCGGTGGCTCACTCCTGTAATCCCAGCACTTTGGGAGGCTGAGGCGGGTCTATCTCACTGGAGGTCAGGCGTTTAAGACCAGCCTGGCCAACATAGTGAAACCCCGTATCTACTAAAAATACAAAAAAATTAGGTGAGTATTGTGGTGAACACCTGTAATCCCAGCTACTCAGGAGGCTGAGGCAGAAGAATCGCTTGAACCCAGGAAGAGCAGGTTACAGTGAGCTGAGATTGTGCCACTGCACTGCAGCCTGGGTGACAGAGTGAGACTCCACCTCAAAAAAAAAAAAAAAAAAAAAAAAAAAGCCCAAACTAAAGTATTAAAGTTAGAGGTAAAAACATACTTTTAATATTCACTTGATACAATAAAGAAAATGGAGTTTTAAATATCAGAGTCCCCCTACCAAAAATCCAGACGTCCTTTTTTTTTTTCTTCTACTTTAATTACTACAAATCCTACATTCCAATCCAGATGGCTTTAATTTAAGTGTTATCATGTGGTTTCTCTGACGATAGAATTAGTTAGGCTGGGAAAATCACATAGCAATTAAACATCATTCTGAACATTTTCCTGCCCTCAATCAACATATTTTATGTACTACTGCAATCTACAGTTTAAAAAGCCAAGAGAGCATATGTATTCTAAAGGGAAAAAGTTACAAAATTATAAAGTGGTATATTAAGAGATTTCACTATTTGATGGAATTTTGGTTTTCACTGTAAGAAGCATACAGTTTTTACTCTTCTAAAACAGTACAGCCATGAGATTATCTTATACAGTTGACCCTTGAACAACATGGGCTTGAACTAGACAGGTCCACTTATACATGGATTTTCTTCCACTTCTGCCACCCCTGAGTCAGCCAGACCAACTCCTCCTTTTTCTCCTCCTCAGCCTACTCAACATGAAGACATGGAGGATGAAGACCTTTATGATAGTTCACTTCCACCTAATAAATTATAAACGTATTTCCCTAATGATCTTCTTAGTAATATTTTTTCTAGCTTACTTTAAGAATACAGTATATAATACATATTAACATATAAAATAACAAATATAACATAAAACATGTTATTCGACTATATTATAGTAAGGCTTCTAATCAATAATAAGGTATTAATAGTTAAATTTTGGAGGAATCAAAAGTTATATGTAGATTTCTGACTGCACAGGGGCTGTGCCCTTATCCCCTGCATTGTTCAAAGGTCAACTGTACAAATAACCATAAGATCCATAACTTATAGAACCATAAGAGAAACTGTAAGAAAAGGGTAAGTATCTCAAACTAAAATAGGTACCGCTAAACTAGTTTCCATAACCACAGAAAACAAATGAAAACTTTTTATGGGGCTTTTTGAAATTCCTGTCTACCATTAAGATTTAGCTTCCAAAAGACATGTAAAGTTAAAAGCACAAGTAGAAAAAGAAGGCTAAGAAGTAAATGCATGAGATTTTATCCAATAATTCTTTTTTTTTTTTTTTTTTTTTTTGAGACGGAGTTTCACTTTTGTTACCCAGGCTGGAGTGCAATGGCCCAATCTCGGCTCACCGCAACCTCCGCCTCCTGGGTTTAGGCAGTTCTCCTGCCTCAGCCTCCTGAGTAGCTAGGATTACAGGCACACGCCACCATGCACAGCTAATTTTTTGTATTTTTAGTAGAGACGGGGTTTCACCATGTTGACCAGGATGGTCTCGATCTCTCGACCTCGTGATCCACCCGCCTCGGCCTCCCAAAGTGCTGGGATTACAGGCTTGAGCCACCG